TCATCTCAGGCATCTTCCATGGGCACTTGCCACATGCACCCCACATCCATGGAAATTGGTGTACAATATGAGCCAGCCTCTAAGAACCCTCATGGTTCATTTCCAATCCATTTACAGTATCTTCTGACTTCAATGCTATACCTCCAGCTGTAATAGTTACTATCATTGTAATACTAGAACAAGGACAATGTACACTTATGGATACAATCCCAGTTTATAGACTTGATCAGGATGCATCTCTGACTGATCATTTGCTTTCATAGTGCTCACTCACTCTGAGGCTACCTGGATACTCTCACTATCTCTGCCTTGCTTTGCTCCTTCAGCCAGAGATACCAGGTTCTCAGTATTGCTGTATTGCTGTGCTGTTAATGCAGACATAAAGCCATAAAGCTTGTCATAGTTATAATGTGGAGGTGCTGGCGTTGGACTGGGGAGGACAAAGTCAGAAGTAACACGACAGCAGGTTATAATCCAACTGGTTTATTTGAAATCACAGGCTTTCAGAGTGCTGCTCCTTCGTCAGGTGAAGCAGTGCTCCAAAAGCTGTGATTTCAACTAAACATTTTGGTCCATAACCTGGTGTCATGTGACTTCTGACCTCATCATATTTGGCAGTAGACCTCAGTGAAGTCAAGGGCTATATCTTTCTCTCAGTAGTCCCTGCACAGTAAGTCAAGGGCAGCCCTGTTACCAGTCCAGAGGCTTGGACATAGTCATTGAGCTGCTTGTTGAGGTCAGAGTTGGGATGTTGTCCACATCAGGGGTGAGGAGCCGAATATCAGGCAGTCCATGACCGATATTTACTCTTTCTGACCTGCTGCAGGAAAAGGAGTCAGATAGGTATTCAGGGAGATGTTAATTTTGGTGCAGATTCAGCGGTGTCCTTAGTAAGTGAGTTGGCAGTGTATAGAACATGCAGGGCTAGTGGTGTTAAGAGGTGGGACGGGTGACAACAAGTGAAGGAAGATGTTAGCAGGCAGTAATGAGAGTGGTAGAGCATGAGCCTTGGCGAGAGGTGGGAACAGGAGCAAAGTATGAATGCAGGATATTACAGAGAAAATGGTGGCACTTACGCTGGAGAAGATCATTGACATCCTTCCTCGATTACTATGCATTTCCCCAGCTAGCTGAGACTGCATTGACTCGGGTAGCAACCTTATACTAGGTTGGCATGGCATGGCCTGGTGTTGTGGTCTCTCTGCTGGATTACATTATCATGGTGTGGTGTTGTTGTCTCCTCTGCTGGTCCTGGGCAAAGACGACGTCCCTATTCTGCAAAACCCTGTTCACTAGAACCTCCAGGTCCCTGCCTGCAAAGCAGAATGACAAATTTCTCTTATCGCTCAAGTTCAGGGCAAAAATCAGGAACAATGCATTTCTGATCTAGATTTACAGTGGTTGTCTAGGTGCACAACAACCTTTCAAAGATGGCATCAGTGTAAGGGATGCATTTGAATTCCAGGATGTCCTGCCAGTGGCAGGTTGTTCTGGGAACAGTGCTTGGTAAGGTTAGGAATAGAATTGAATGAGAGGGACACCAAATGGGTGGAGTTGGTAGTTAATGAAGTGAATGTAGTAAGATACAATCAGAAACCCGCAGCAAAAAGTACTCTAAAAAACTTGATACAACTTTCATTTACCTGAGAAAAGGGAAGATTCAGCCCGTAATCTTTGAACAATTGACAATGTCTGGAGCCTTCAGATAATTTAAAGGTAATCAATGATATTGCAAAATAAGTATCTTTCATACAGATTAAGAGACAATGATTATAAAAGTGTTGGCGTGAAGGATAACAAACTTAGAGGCTCACAGATGTAAAAGCATAAGAAATAGAAGTAGGACTAGGTCACTTGACCTATTGAATCTGCTCTGCTATTCAGTAAGATCACAGCTAACATGGTTGTAGGCTTAACTCCATTTTCCTGCCAGCCATCATAATCTTGTCTTTCTTGTAGACCAAAAATCTGTCTAACCAGGGCTTGAATATATTCAGTGTCTTAGCCTCAACTGCTCATTGAATGTAATCGATAAGCTGAGTTATTTTGATTTTGATTTTGATTTTATTGTCACATGTACTGAAATACAGTGACAAGCTTTGTTTATGAGCAGTACAGGCAGATCATAGCAGGCAAAGGATGTACAGACCAAAAAGACTCAGAGGCATACAGGTTACATTATTTGAGGCTAGAGTCAATTCAACAGTCTGATAACAGGCAGAAAGAAGCTGTTCTTGAATGTGCTTGTGTGTGTGTTCAGGCTTCTGTATCTTTGCCTGACGGAAGAGATTGTAGGAGGTCATTACCGGTGTGCAATGGGACTTTGACGATGATGGCACTCTGTCCGCAGCATGTAAATGGAGTCCGTGAATGAAAGGTTGGCTTCTGTGATGGTCTGGGCTGTGCACACAACCTTCTGTAGTTTCTTATGGTCCTGGGCAGAGCAGTTGCTATACCAGGCCATTATGCACCCGGACAGTATGCTTTCAATGGTGCATCTGTAGAAGTTGGTGAGGGACCTTATGGACATACCAAATTTGCTGAGCCGCCTGAGGAAGAAGAGGCGTTGTTGTGCCTTCTTGACTGTCGCATTTACGTGGGAAGTCCAGGACAGGTCATTGGTTATGGTCACTCCGAGGAACTTGATGCTCTTCACTCTCTCAACCTCAGTTCCATTGATGTAGATGGGGGTGTGTTCTCCTCTGAAGTCGATGATCAGTTCTTTAGTGTTGCTGACGTTGAGAGACAGATTGTTTTCATTGCACCATGTCACTAAACCCTCTGTATTTTGACTCATCATTGTTAGATATCCGTCCCACTACGGTAGTGTCATCAGTGAACTTGTAGATGGCATTCGTTCGGAATTTGGCAACACTGTTGTGGGTGTACAGGGAGTACAGTCAGGGGCTGAGGATGCATCTTTGTATGGGGGGTGGCTACAGTGTTGAGTGTTGTTGTGGAGGAGATGCAGTTACCTATCCTCACTGATTGTGGCCTGTGGGTCAGAAAGCTGAGGATCCAGTTGCAGAGGGCAGAGCCAAGACCAGGGTCTCTCAGTTTTGAGATCAGTCTGGAGGGGATAATGGTGTTGAAGGTGATCTGTAGTCAATGAGCAGGAGTCTGATGTAGGTATCTTTGTTGTCCAGATGTTCCAGGGATGAGTGCAGGGCTAGGGATATGGCTTCTCTGTGGACCTGTTATGTCAGTAGGCAAACTGTGGGAGTTGATGTGGGCCATGAGCAGGCTCTTGAATCACTTCATGATTATTGAAGTCAGAGCTATTGGGTGGTAGTCATTAAGGCACATTGCATGTGTTCTCTTGGGTACGGGGGTGATGGTGGTCTTCTTGAAGTAGGTGGGACTTCGACTTGTTGAAGAGAGGTTGAAGATGTCACTGAATACCTCCGCCAGTTGGTCCACGCATGATCCTTGTGCTCAGCCAGGGACACTGTCCAGGCCTGTCGCTTTCCTTGGGTTAACTCCCAGGAAGTTTGATCTGACGTCTGCAGCAGTGACTGAGGGAGCAGGTGTGTCTGGGGCTGTTGGGGCAGGCATCGCCACGCCGGTGGCATTCTGCTCAAATCGAGCATGTCAGGGAGGGGCGTGTCATTGTCCGCTATCTTACACTGTTTCATTGGGTATCCCGTAATGTCATTTAGGCCTTGCCATAGATGGCAGGTGTCTGTTTGGTAGGTCTGGGCCTCTAACTTGGTCCAGTACTGCTTCTTGGCCTCCCTGATGGCTTTATGGAGGTCATATCTGGATTTTCTGTATTGGTCTGGATCACCTGACTTGAACGCTATACGTCTAGTCTTCAGAAGGGAGTGGATTTCCTGGTTCATTAAAGGTTTATAATTGGGGAACACTCGGATTGACTTCTTTAGTTCACACTCCACCATGTATTGCTAATGAAGTCCATGACGGTGGTAACATGCTCGTCTAGGTTTTCTGCTGAACACTTGAATATGGTCCAGTCCACCAAGTCCAAGCAGTCCCAGAGACTGTCTTCTGCTGCCTCAGACCAGCACTGTAATTCGTTTCATGAAGGATTCTCCTGTTTCAGCTTCTGCTTGTAAGCTGGGAGGAGGAACACAGCACTGCGATCAGATTTTTCGAAGTGGGGGCAGGGAATGGAGTGGTAGGCGTCTTTGATGGTTGTAAGGCAGTGATCCAGAATGTTCAGTCTCCTGGTGGGTCAGGAGACGTGTTGGTGATATTTTGGCATCGCCTGCTTGAGGTTGGCTTGGTTGAAGTTGCTGGCCACAATGAATAGGGACTCGGGGAATTTTGTCTCTGGTGTGTTTGTGGCGGTGTAAATCACGTCTAGGGCATTCTTCACATCCGCATGGGGTGGTATGTCAACTGCTGTCAGGATGGCGGGGGTGAACTCTCATGGTGGGTAGTAGGGATGGCATTTTACTGTAAGGTATTCTAGGTCCAAGGAGCAATAGCTTGCCAGGATCGCTACATCCGAGCACCAGAAAGTTTTGATCGGGAAAAATACCCCACTGCCCTTTGCCTTGCCCCAGGGCACCATACAGTCCATGCAGTGTATGGAGGATCCGTCAGCTTGTAGGGCACAGTCAGGAATGGCAGGAATGAGCGAAGTCCCTGTGAAGCAGAGCAAACAACAGTCTCTCAGTTGCCTTTGGTAGGTAAGTCTAGATCTGAGTTCATCCATTTTGTTTTCAATACTTTGGACGTTTGCCAGAAGTATGCTGAGATGGGGAGTCTTGAAACCATGTGGTTTCAACCTCACCTTCAGGCCAACAAGTTTTCCCCATTTCTTTGCAGGTTTCCTGCATCTGGACAGTTCTGAGTTAGACAGATTTTTGATCTATAAGGGAGTTGAAGCTGATGGAGGCAAGCAGGAAAGTGGAGTTAAGGTCATAATCAGAGCAACGAGATCTTACCAACTTAAGTATGTGTTTACTTTTTCTTATTTTTAACATAACTAATGAGTAAGGGTAACAGTATCTAATTTGTGCTCATTTTTCCAGTTGTGTGTTATATTGGAGCCAATGCAAGAACTGATGTCCAGACACAAAACATATAATATCAGCCCAAGAGACTGTTTGAAAACCTGCTTATTCCAGAAATGGCAGCGAATGGTGGCACCTCCAGGTAGGTCGACGGTGTACATCATTGAATTGTACGTTCAAGTCGCTGAAAGAGAATAGTCTTAATGAAGTTAGATAGTGCTCCAGTTGTATGTTTTTTCAGTTCTTCAGAGATAACATAGTATCAAAATTACTGACCTCTAAAGAACAACTATCCTTTTAGAAACCCAATGTAGTTAGTTAATGGACTGTCGTGTCTCCAAACCACATGCTCTGTAGTGCAGGTTGTTGCATTCCATAAAAATGGGTTGGTGAAAGATAGTATTAGAAGCCAATCTTTACACAGTCTACTATTTATTTACAGAGTAAAACATTGCAATCATACATCTCCTAGTTCAACTTCCACTCCAGTTACAGTATTTCTTTGTCTTATGAATCAACCGGCTTGAACATGTCACAACATATTTCCATGGCTATCACATCCTCAGGTGGTACTTAAACCTGGACCCTCTGACCCAGAGGTAGGAACAGTACTTTCGTGCCACAACATGTGTTTCTTCACGTCTGCTCAAATAAAACCCCAATTTTGGAAGCAGACGCGGAAGTTTCCATGGTAATATTTTGAGAAAGAGCTATCTTGAGGAGGAGGGGCAGTATCCCCCATGTCTGGCCAATTTTCATTTTTCTAAAATCACTATTGAGTGCTATGTTTCATATATTGCAACAGTGACCACAATTTGTAGAATACTTCACTGGTTGTAAAGTGCTCTGGGATTAATTGAGGTTGGGAAAGCAGCTATAGAAATGCAAGCCTGACTGTAAATGCTCAGATTGTACTTCTTCCAATAGTCTACAAATTATCTTCACAACATTTGCTTGTTTTTAAATGGAAGGAAAGTTTATTCTCCCATTTCATAGAGACACTAGATATTACCAGATACTGTTTCACCCACATGGTGATTCCCAGTTACTGTCTTTTTCAGTACAAGGCTATAATGGTGATAACAAATACAAGCTGTTGCTAATTTAAATTTGCATTATCTTGAAAGATTAAATGGAAGTCATGCAAGTAGAAAGCATCTTGCATAGTTCTGATTAATTTGTTCCTCTACATATTCAATTAAGAAAAAAATATAATTTTGATTGAATAACAGAATGTATGATGGCCATTCAAGAGGTTCCATTTTGAACAACAGAGGATGACAGGTCTGAGCTACTTCAGAGTCTCCTGAGCACAGAAATCACAGTGCTTTGAAGTTACCTATTCCCTGTTGGTTGCAATACAGCCACCAGGATAGTTCCAAGAAATATATTTTCAAAGAAGTATCTGCTAAAATTATTTTACAGTATTAAACAGGATATTTTGAGAAAACAATTTCAAACATTTTTGCGACCTTTAATTCATTACATATTTGTTTTCTACATCTTTCACAGATGTTCACATGTTCAATCACTGCCATTAATGGTTTTCCTCGGTTTAGTACTGAAACATTCAACTCCGAGCTGTGCCCCTGTAGATTGATTTTTTTTGAGGCAGATTGGGTCCAAGGAGTGCCCAGAATATCATCTCACTGTGCAACCTTGAAAATTCACTAAAGTTGACCAATCTAATTAGCAGATCTTTTAAATTGAATCTCTAAATTGTGATTTTATGTGTTAACCTAAATATATACATAAAATAATATTAACTGAGGGAGGTAAATAAATACTTGGCACACAAACTAAGAACTGTTGCATAAATATTCAGAGGTGATAATTAACTGGAAATTTGTTAGCAGTAAATCAGGCTGAGGCTCTTGTGAAATCATGCAGGTAAAGCTAAACATCTCTTTCTAGGATATGTAGGATTTTGCTGGCTCAAGTATTTAGTAGATGGTATGATTATTTTGACATTAGCTGCTTTGTGTTCTGTGGTACCAAAGCTTGCAGCTTTAAAAAATATTTTAAACTTTTGTTAAATATTTTGTATTTGGTATCAAATTTGCTGTGAGATTGCTATAAGTTTTGGTAGCAGATTTATTGTGTTACACCATCAAATTGGTAAGCCTCGGAAATATTTAGTTTATGACTGTCAAAACTAAAATTGGCCCATTTACCTCACTGTTCTGGTGCTGCAGTAACAGTAAGTCTCAGAATACCACACTACAAACCAATGCAAGGCACATTCGTGTGGGTCTATCTACTCACCAGTTCAAGCCTAACTCCTGTTAGGTCTGTAGGCATACTTCAGCAAGTAAATTTTTAGTGTCTGTATGATTGGGTGAGGTAAACCATATAAGTTGTTGAATACTGAAGTTTTCTTTTCTCCAAGTGCTTGAGGCAAGCAGAATATGCTAACAATCAGTTTAAAATAGAAATCTTGCATTGTGAATAAAAGAATATAAAAGACTTCCTTCATGCTAAAAAACATTACTAAATAAAGACGAAATTAAAAATTAAAATCAACCTGCTGAAAATAAATACTCATCAGATCTGACAGCATCTGTGAAGAGAGAAAAAGAATTAACGTCACAGATCTATAATCGTCTCAAGGTAGAATCAAGAAGCTCGAAATATCCATTCACTTACAAATTTGCACACCTCCTTTTCTCGTACACTGTGTTGCTCAACACAATCATGGTTCAGAGAATTGGTCACAGAGTCCAGCATATTCTATTTTCTCATTAGTAAAATCAGTGACCAAAATATTAGGAGCAACAGGCTTCCTTTTCAAATTATTTCTGCAATCAAGCGAGATGACTAAACCAAAAGCTTTCTTGCAGTTTCAGGGTTATTGTGCATTTGACAAATATCAAAGAAGAGAGGTCTGTTTCTGTAACTCTTCAGCAATGCAGTATCTAGTCAGTGGTACAGGGCTGTTACTGGTTGATCTTAGATGTATGTTGCCTTCAGACTGCTCAAAGATTTGCCATTGTTACACTCTTTACATAATTCACATTACTGTGGAATAAATCTATATTACTAAAGGTAATTAGTTTGTCAAATGCTAGCATCATGGTTTCATCTTATACCTTCAAGTGTGAACATGATTTAGTGCGTTGAGAACTCTATAATCGTACCATTCACGTGGCACAGTGTCTGAGCATGTTGCACTATGTCACAATGGTGGTACATTGAAAGGTGTATTCTCCCATGCTGCTCAGTTTCCAATCTCAGCTGTGCTGCCTTGGGAAGGTGCTGAGCAAAGGTTAGATGCCTCCCCATAGAAGGGGAGGTGGAATTGGAGGGACTGTGGACCCCAAGATATTTTATGCTTCTACAGATGTCAGGCTCATAGTGGCACTGGCTGAGGCTCCAAACAGATTACTTGCCTGCCCTTTTGGCCACAGAGGTAAGTGGCTTAGAGGAACCGGGGGACTGAGGAGAAAAATAAATGAAATTCATACTCTCAAAATTTTTTAAAACTATATCATATATACTATATCGTATGTGAACCAGTAAAACCGCTGAAAGTAACAACCATGTAAGAGTAAAATACCTGTCCCGTGATGCTGTAATCCTTCAGGTCGAACCTCACAATCAGCTGTTATACCCTTTCTCCTACGTCACACCGCCTCAACCCCACAACCTCGCTCAGCGCGCCCAGCGCATAACGGTAAGAAAACAAAGTTTAATTACTTTTTAAGTCATTCAAAGTATATATTATATAAAATAACAAAGATGGGGAGGGAATAATGAGGCTTTCCAATCTTCTGAGGTTCAGATGGTTTCACAGTCCTAATGACAACATCTAGATCCCTTGATTTGGAACAGAGCCTTGTAAAGACCTGTTTTGCATCAATTAATCTACACATGACTGATAGTTGACCCATCTTAACCTATATATAGAGGAAAATTATGTTTTGTCACAATGTGCTGTTAACATGGTAAATAGAGAGAGAACATTGTTTATGTTTTCACTTTTAGTGAAATTGCAAAGGCATTGTAAAATAATGTATTTAAAGTCTTGCTAAAAATAATGATTAGAGGAAATCTTTACCTATGGTTGCACCACTATTATTGTACAACCAACAGAGGAAATCTCCTTTAGTTGGTCTTGGTCTGATGGTGCTCACTTCATATTTCTGTGGTTCCATTCTCAAGACTTGATTTTGGCAGGCACATGCATTTTGCAACTTTTCAGCCATGACTTCAGGTGAAATGCCTTATAGAAGCTGAACATCTCACCTAAGCAAAAGGTGGCATTTCATCTTCCTCACCACAGGTCACCTCCTGCTGGCTTAATGAGGAGTAGCATTGTCACTAGGAAGGGGCAAAGCCAAATGTTTCTCTATTTACCTAGTTGGTTTAAATAGAGCTTAAAGAATAAAAACAAGAATAATTCAGAAAGTTAGGCTCATGCTATAAGGAAAAAAGTCACAAAAAGGAATTTGTTTTTAGTGGAGAAAAGGAATTTGAAGGAAACATCAAGAAGCATGAACAATGTAGAACAAAGGATGTCACCTAAACTATAAACAGATTTGAAAGACAAGTGTGGTTATTTTGTAAGGTTAAACATTTGAATGCTTTCTTTCTCAGTGCAGCAGAAATGTAAAATGTTCAATACAAGTACTTACTACTTTTTAAAAGCAACTCCAAGAAAACACAGCAAGATGCTTACAAAAAAAACAGATTTATTTCTGTCTTCTTAAAATGTTTTATCATTTATTACCTCCCTCAGGGCATTAATTAAACTGGCCAAATCCACATGGTATAAGCTATAAGTTATTTAAAAGAAAGAAAATCAAGCTGAGTGACCTTCCTCATGAAATATTTTTCCTATGTTTAAAATAAACCTAGAAGAGTACCAATAAAGGAAAAGTTTGTTAAATTATATGTATATCTGGACCTTTTAACTGGTTGAACAAATATTGTATTCCAAATCAATCAGAAACTGGTATTAAAGATGAGAAATTACAGTGGCTAGGAAAGTACCATCAATACAAACCACATATCCATCTAAAAGGTGCATTTTTAAAATGTTGCTGCAAAGTAGGAAACATTTTCAGTTTAATTTTGTCCTTCACATTTTGAAGATCTGATATTTAAAGTCCAGAAACCATCAGAGAATCACCAAACTGATATCAGGAAATCAGCATTGTTGTCCTTCTGGAACCCTATCTTTATCCAGTTATGGTTTGAAACCAACTTCTATTAGTTGAGTACTGGATATTCGGTTGACAAATACCGAAGCTCAAATGACCAACCACTCCTGACAAACATGCAAGAATGAAAAGAATGATGATCTTCAACTCTGTCCACTAGCTTTGGTGGTCTCAAATGATGGAAACTTTTAAAAACTGTACAACTTAAATTAATTACATATTGTTTAAGTTAATGAACACATAAAGGGAATTCATTTTTCAAGAGAATATGAGGAAATAGAATCCGTGTTTTAGTTTGGATGGAATTCTGAAGCTTTATGCAATATGTACCTGCAACATGTTGCTCTTGATATAGCAGCTGTCCATATTTGGTCAGTTAGGAAAAGACAATATATGATCAGTTTGGAGCCCTGGAACATTAGTATGATACCAAAACTCTGATTCTGATTCTTTTTGCCCTTTTTTGTTTTATTTTGTACAGCGGAACCTACCAGACAACAGACAAACAAACGAAGAAAGAGGAAGAATTCAGCAAGCAGCACCTCAAACAGCAGTGTAGGAAATACCAACAGTACAAACAGCAAGAAAAAGAGCCCTGCAGGGAACTTCAGTCTCTCCAGTCAGGTACCTGTAAGCATCTCCTTTCACTATTGTGTTCGGACTGTGATAACTTATCCATTAGTTGCTCCAACAAAAATACACTGTTGATAGGATTGTACTGAACATCTTTATTGTGCCTGCCTTTCTAAGTAATCTTTATATGCTAAGAATCAGAAAATAATTCAAATGTAATTACAACCTGTCACATTCTCATCTAGCTCTGCCCAGGTCTCTTTCAACTCAAGTCTTCTAAATCAGTCTTCTCCAATAGTGTGTGTCTGGTATATTGTTTTGTTCCATCAGCACCTATGCTTTATATGAAATAAATTATTCCCAAGCTCATAAGACTGAGTGGAAAACAAAAATAACTTTGTAACAGCAAAAATGGCTTGGTAACGTTGTAGATTCTGTAATCCTTTCTTCTCTAAAATAAGCGCTTTGTAAAAATAAACATGGTATACAAAACCACAGTTGTGAAAAGTGGTAGCATGTGATAATATCAGTCTAGTGCTGATTTTTTTCTTCCACGTGTCTGCTTTTACTTCTTCAATAATCTCAAATAGGTGACTCACCAATCTCAAATTCTAGCTCCCAAATAAGACAATGTGCTCCACATTGATTTAGCACGGTTTAAAAATAAGGGTTGAACTGCAAAGTTCTTAAAAATACAAAAATGATGGAACTCCCCCAAGCCTGCTCCTCAATATCTTCATGTTCCACAGTGATATCTGAATCCAGAAATTAGCATTCAAATACTATCCTGAAACCAGCTGCATCTCATGCATTTACTACCTTCAATAAATCCCAAGCAGTTTTAAAAGATTGTAACAAGACACAACAGAGCACTTAAAAGAAAGACGCACAGGCAAACATTAAAAACTGAAAAAAAACTAAAATTATTTTTTTAATAAGAGGCTCCAACAATGTAATCGAGACCCACGGTATCCTCCCTCCTCTGGCAGCAGCTCCAGCAGGGCTTCATCCACGTCCTTCAGGACAACGTCTCCCCCGTGGTGGCTCCTCCTGAAATGCCAGCGTCCTCTTCGCACAGTTCAACACAACGGCTCCACATGACATCCTAGATGTCGTCTTCCACTGCTCCAGAACAGGTAAATCCCCAGAAATACAGTAGGGACAAAGAGAGAGAAAATGGTTTTTATTTTAAAATATATTCACTCAGCATGTAGCTGAGAAATACACACAAGAAATTCCCAAATTACATCCCCCTCTCCCATAATGGGATAGCTCGTCTAAGCCAGTGTAGTTGGGTGCTCTAATTCGATCTAGCATCTTTAGGAAAACAGAAACAACAATTGTATTCATACCAGATTTCCGTAAATACAATATAAGAAGGCCCAAGGAGCTTCACAGAGAGTTGCAATGCATAGTATGACATCAAGCCGCAAGAAAGCTGTTAGGGTATTTGAGCAGGATTTGCCAAAGTGGTAGATATTCAGGAGCACTTCTTAGGAGAAAAGAAGGTAGGAGGGTGTAAAGATTTAGGAACGGAGTTCCAGAGTTTAGGTCTTGGCTGCTGAAGGAAGACAATTAATGCAGGCATGATAAAAATTGTTAAGGTCAAAAGATCAGAATTAAATGACCATAAATTTATTGGATGACTGTGGAGCTGGAGGAGATTACAGAGATAGAGACAAGACTGTGCAGGGATTTGAAAACTAGCGATGAGAATTTTAAAATTGAGGCATTGCAAAATCAGGACCAATATAGGTCATAAAGACCCAGATGATGGTTGAATGGAACTTGGCGCAAGTTAGCACATGGAGATTTGAATGACCTCAAGTTTACAGAAAGTAGAACTTTAGAGTGTGGCTTGAAGTCAAGAATAGAGGTAACTGACATGGGTGTGGGTTTAAGCAGTGGATGACTTGGTATAGGAAGGACTTAGGTAATGTTACAGAAATGGGAACAGATGATCTTAAGAAACACAGCAAACCTTATGGCACAGAGGAGGCCTTTCAGTCCATATGTGTATTCCAACAAAAAATAATTATCTAGCCCAATTATTTATTATTGCTCTTGGTCTGCAACCTAGTCGGTTATGGTCCCTCATGTGCATACCCATGTGACGGGGATGTGTGGTTGGGAGCTCCTCTTGGGGTCAGCTATGCCATTGTGCTTATGAACAGTCTGGTTCAACCTCAGAGTATCAGAATGGTAGCAAGATGGTGGTGGTACTAGCATTTCGGTTCAGAGGGCCTGACTAATGCACTGGAGCCATGAATTCAAATCTCACCTTGACAGCTGGAGAATTCTGATTCAATATCTGTACTAAAAGATGTGAGTCTTATTCATGTTGAAGTTACTGAATTGTTGTAAAAAACCCATCTGACTCACTATTTTCTTTCAAGGAAGGAAATCTGCCATCCCTACTTATTCTGGGTCATTTGTGACTCCAAATACACAGCTTTGCGGTTGACTGTTAGTTGCCCCCTGAGATGAACTAGCAAGTCAGTCAGTTTGTTAAATCCATCCTGAAGGTATAAAAGACAACCTACCCAGTCAACGCTTTAAAGTTCTCCTTACTAACGACTGGGATTTATGCCAAAATGGGAAGAGCTGTTCCACAAATAGTCGAACGACAGTCTGACATAAGTTATACTCATCCAATCATACTCTACAGATATTACTCATACCTTGCTGTCCAGCCAATGTCCCAGACTTCTCCATTGTCATCTCTGGGCCTTTGTTTTGCTGCATCAGCAAGACAGACCCATCAGAGATGGTGGCACAGTGATACACAGCCAGGAGAGTATTGCCTCAGGTTCTCTAACATTAAATCCAGGCCTGAACATTGACGCCACAACCCGTGAAATCTCATGGCTTCAGGTCAAAAGCAGAAAGGAGATTTCCTCCTGATTATTACCTACCAGCCACTTCAGCTGATAAATCAGCTTCCTGTTGATACTGCTTCATGTTGAATGCCATTTGGAAGAGTCACTGAGAGAAGAAAGGGCACAGAATGTATAGTGGATATGGAACTTCCGTATAACCACTAAGCTGAGTGGTGCTGTTATTGACCGAGACATTTCAGGAATTATTTGCTAAACTGGGCCTAGTTTAGACAATTGGTGAGAGAACAATCTCCCATCCATGTCCTCACCAATCCACCTGTTGCAAATGGAATCAATAGGACTAACTATCACATGTCCTTGTGGAGGCAGACTCACTTTGACACTAGGGATGTCCTCTATGTTGTGTGATATTATCACCATTCAAAAGGAAATAGACTCAGTATCAGCAACTCAAAACTGTCTAAAGGTGAAGGGCTGTGAGCCATAGACAACAGAAGAACTGTATTCAGCCTCGTTTCCTGGTACATTCCTCACTCTGCCATTACTATCAAATCAGGGTATCAACCATGGGAGCAGCACCCTGCATACATAAAAATGAGGTGCCAATCTGGTGTAGTTACAGCACAGGATTACATTGCAAGTCCAACAGATGAGGAAACTGAACTGAGGAAGGGTTACTCCACCAAAATGTTAACTCTGAGTTCTCTCCACGGTTGCTGCCAGACCTGTTGAGATAGTTAATGTATTGGTTCTAAACTTTTAAAAATCCCTTGATGTGGGGATGGTCCCATTAGATTGAACGATAGCAAATTTAACTCCTTTATTCAAAAAGTGAGGGAGACAGAAAGCATTAAACTACAGTTCAGTTAGCTTAAAATATGTCATAGGTTAATCTGTCATAGAAGTTATTATTTAAAAACTTATAGCGGACCACTTAGATAAGTTCAAGGTAATCAGAGAGAGTCAGCATGATTTTGTGAAAGGGAAATCATGATTGACCAATCTGTTGGAATTCTTTGAAGAGGACATGTGCTATGGTAAAGGGGAGCTGTGGGTGAATTGTACTTGGATTTCCAGAAGGCACTTGATAAGGTGCCACATCAAAGGTTATTGTGAAAAAGGAAAGCTGATAGTGTAGGGGGTAACATATAGCATGGATAGAAGGTTGGCTGACTAACAGGAATCAGAGAGTAGACATAAATGGATCTTTTTCACGTTGGGAAGATGTAGTGAATGGTATGCCAAAGGAATCGATGCTGGTTCCTCAACTGGTTCCAATTTATATAAATGACATAAGTGAAGGGATGGAAGGTATGATTTCCAAGTTCACTGACAACACAAAGATAGGTAGGAAAGTTGGTTATGAAGAGGATGTTATCATTTATTGCGAAGGGAATTGAATCTAAAAGTAGGGAGGCTATGCTTTCGCTGTACAGATCACTGATGAAAACTCATCTGGACGATGGTGCAGTTTGGTCACCTTATTGAAGAAAGGATGTAAATTCATTGGAGACAATTCAGTGAAGGTTTACAGAATTATTGCTGAAATGAGAGGGTTGTCTTGAAGAAATATAGGACAGCTGGGCTCACATCCACCGTAATTTAGAAGAGTAAGAGGCAACTTGATATAGAAGATGACAAAGTAGATGTGGCGAGGATGTTTCCTCTTATGGGAGAATCTAGAACAAACATCATAGTTTAAAAATCAGGGATCACCCATTTATAACAGAGATTAGGTGAGTTTTTTTTTCGGAGGACTGCATCTTTGGAAAGCTCTTCCTGAAAAGGTGGTGGAAGCAGCTTCCTTGAGTATTTTTAAGGTAGTTCAAGTGCACTGCTTTGTTCTGGATGGTGTCAAGCTTCTTGAGTGTCTTTGGAGTTGCATTCATCTAGACGAGTGGAGAGTATTCTGTCACACTCTGATTTGTGCCTTTATAGATAGTGAACAGACTTTGGGGAGTCAGGTGGTGAATTACTCATAGCAGGACTCCAGTTAGAAACAAACAAACACACATGCACACACACTACCAACCTCCCTCCCTCCACCATGCACACACCAAAATGTCAAAGTGATCTGCAGATTATCTGCCATTTACTGGAAAAGCAGCTGTCTTTAGAATGCAGTGTCTAGCATAACTTTTCAAACCTGTCTAAGAGATTGCTATTATGTCTTTAATTGCTAGACAGACAGCATTTGGCAAGAGGACCTGTGCTGAACGATGCCTAGCAACAGTCTGTAAGGCTTTTGTTTTGATTTGCCATAGACTTGGCTGCTGTTAGGTCAGTTGGAAAAGGATCTTCAGTTTGGAAATAGCAAATTCTGTCTTGAAAAGTGGGAGTTGGAGGAAGTTGGCAGGAAGGAAACATCTCTGCCTCTCACACTGAGTAAAAGGTAGCCCTTTAAAGAGATATCTCAGTGAAATATTTTCTGGGAACTAGAGCAAGTTCCAGAACTCGGCATTTTTGATCTCCTCTCAAATGTTGAATGCTGCATTATTAATTCAGTCCACAAGCCACCTAAACTTCCACCTAAACTAAGGGTCTTCCATTCTTCTGTGACCAACAGAAAGTTGATCTTATAGAGAAGAAACCAGAGGAAGTGAGAGTGGTCAACTCATTCTGCCCTTTTAGTTGGGACTCTTGGTCAAAACTGCGTTGTTATCTTCCCTATTTTCCCATCCATAATACTTCTTTAGAGCTTTGTCTTGTCCTGTCTGTGTGAAAATGTAAATGTATGTTTAGATTAAAGGAGATATGATTTTATTTTGCACAATAGCTTTGTTGATAATCAGTTTTGCCACTTGTCTAAAGAATGCATTTGTTCTTAATAAACAAGTTATCTCTGAGTTGATTGAACCCAAGTAGCCATTAAGGCACTCAGTGAGATTCATCAACAGGAAGGCTTCACTCCCTTCATGTTCAGCTGGTTTGCAACTGTAAAAGAAAGGGTTTCTTTGAGCTTAAATATTCGTAGCTGCACTAAGCAAATACTGCTTATGGGCTTCTGTTTTCTACTGCATTTAACTATTAATTGTTCGCAGTGTTCTTGTAAGACTCTGTGTCTCCCAGAAGTTCTGCTGAGCCCTAGCCCTGGCCCATCCTGCATCCATTGACTCTCAGGTCTTCTCCTGAGTCCTAACTGCATGGAGCTATCAACCAACTCCTGGGTCTTCTTGCTGAATCCCAACTACACAGAATCAGTGGCCTTCAGTCATCATCCCAACAGCACAACATACAGTACTCCTCTTGCTTTGGAGCTTACTTCTCATTCTCTATCTCCACATCATTTATTAACT